TTCAAGAGGGAATTAGATAAGCATATGGAGCAGAGGTCCATCAGTGGCTATTAGCCACAAGGTATAGATAGGGACTCTGGGGCAAGTGATGCTCTGTCATCTTGGTGCTTGGGGGGGGTCAACAGTGGGAGGGCTTCTAATGTCCTGGCCCCACTGGTGGACCTCCTGATGGCACTGGTATTTCTGGCCACTGTGGGATACAGAGTGTTGGACTGGATGGGCCTTTGGCCTGATCCAACATTGGCATCTCTTATGTTCTTATGTTAGGACGTGGGCCCTCCCAGGGCTTGATACAGCAGGGACACCAACTTCAGAGCTACAGGGGTTGGAGGATCAATGGGGCCAGCAGGCTGCATTCTGCCCACCAGTCAGCCATCCCTGCTCTGTGGGAGGTCTGCTGTTGTAGAACGAGGGCATTCCAAGAGTCAGGGGAAACAATTATGCATTCCCAGGCGGAGAAGAACTTCAGCCAGTTTGGTGTAGTGGTTAAGTGCGCAGACTCTAATCTGGGAGAACCGGGTTTGATTCCCCACTCCTCCTCCACTTGCATCTGGCTGGATGTCCTTGGGCAAGCCACAGTTCTGGCACAGCTGTCCTTGAAAAAGAGCAGTTTCTGTCAAGAGCCCTCTCAGCCTCACCTTCCTCACAGGGTGTCTGTTGTGGGGAGGGGAAGGGAAAGGAGTTTGTGAGCTGCTCTGAGACACCTTTGGGTAGTGAAGGGTGGGGTATAAATCCAACCTCTTCTCTTCTTCTTCTATCCTTGGGAGTTGTTTGCATAGTTACAAATGATCATTAAGCTCAGAGAAACTGACTGACCATGCATAAAGTTTGGGTTGTTATCAGCTTAAGAGTTGTATTTATTTATTCGATCTGTATCCCGCCCTCCCTGCCGAGACGGGCTCAGGGCGGCTTTCATTCTAGGACTTTGTCACATTAAAGCTGAAAACCTAGTTGTGCTGTTGGGTGGATTCTCGTACAGATTTATCTTGGGAATAATTTTGATCACAAGAAGGGTGATTTGTTTTCTTCCCCCACCCACCCACCCGGCAATGCCGATTCCCTGTGTGGGCTTTTCTCCTTCTTTGCTTTCTCTTGTGGCTTGTTTGGAGGTAGGAGCAGTGTTTGAAGTTCTGAGTCTGGAAAAAAGCTCACAGAAGCTTTGAAATCACACCTATTTTCAAAGGGCTGAAGTGAGTGGGAGAATTGGATGGTGACAGAAGACATACGCATGCTGTCTAAACTTTAATAGTTGATAACTTATGTGCTGACAAATTGTATATATATATTTTATATTTTTAAAAAAGTAGAGGCCAGTGGGTATGCAGGGTATCTTCAAGGCAGCTCTCTTATTCATTTTATTCCTTTTAATTCAGCCTTCGCATCCTTGCCCGTTTAATGACTGCTAAATTCCTACATATGGAAATCAGAGAGAAAGGAGGAGCATACGGAGGAGGCGCTAAGCTTTCTCACAACGGCATCTTCGCATTCTATTCCTACAGGTAACTATTGAGTGGGGCTGGGGTAGACACCCAACATCGCAGATTCTTCCTCCCGCAATCTCTACTTCTCCGTTTAAGTCAGAATTCTTGGCTTATCTTAAGGTGCCATGGAAATGGACTGGGAATTGGAAACTAATAAATATGGAGTGAAGGGAAAGGGGAGCTTATTGCTACCGGTATATATGTGCTGTCCAAAGCAATGGCTTAGTAGTAAAAGGGACCATGGTGAACAGTGGGAGTCAGAAAATATACAACAATGTGCCAAAAATAGTCAGAATATATTGTAAAACACATTATTTCAACAGTGTATTTTAATTATCCAATCGTAATTCACACATAAGGCACAATGAGCATATCAACACCAACAGGTGTAAATTCTCACATTAAAAAAGTCAGTTTGGTGTAGTGGTTAAGTGTGCGGACTCTAATCTGGGAGAACCGGGTTTGATTCCCCACTCCTCCACTTGCACCTGCTGATGTGACCTTGGGTCAGTCACAAGCTCTGGCACAGCTGTCCTTGAAAAAGAGCAGTTTCTGTCAAGAGCTCTCTCAGCCCCCCCCCCCACCTCACAGGGTGGGGAGGGGAAGGGAAAGGAGTTTGTAAGCCGCTCTGAGACTCCAAGTGAAGGGCGGGGTATAAATCCAATCTCTTCTTCTTCGTCTTCTTCAAAGTCTTTCTTGCAGAAGATGAAAGCAGTCAGCTCGCTATTCTGGACTGAAAAGCAGTTTCAGTCAGACTTTGTCAGGACCCCGCATCAGTTGGAACCAAAGCTTTCATATATTAATAAACCAGGGCAGACACCTCCAAGGGGGTCTAACAGCTGTCTTATTTCTTTCAGTTCAGACAAATGGTAGAAAGACTTTAATTGGCTTATTGTGCGAGAATTTGCACCTGTTGGTGTTTGTGGAAATGCTCATTGTGCCTTAACATGTGAATTGCAATATTATTATTAGATAGTTAAAATACACTGTTGAAATAGTCAGAATATATTGTAAAAATAGATTATCTTTTGGCACAGTGTTGTATGTCAAAAGCAGTGGGGCAGCCTGCAGGAAAGAAATGCCCTAATGGCTTCCATTAGTAGTGATGGCCAGCTGGAATCCCAGCACTGTGGGGCTCGTGATCAGGATCCGTCCTCTCTAGGATAGGGGTTTTCACGTTTTCAGAATTCAGGAAATGCTTCTCTTTTGAGGAGTTCCGGTACAGAGGGACTTGGAGAGCCCCTGGTGAGAAAAAACTTGTTTCACTTTCTGTGAGTTTCCATTCTTAGTGGTATGGGGTAGGCAGTCTCTGCTGCCATGGAGAGAAGCTGTTGGGTGGAATCACGTTATAATTCCCAGGTGGGACACTTTTTTTGCCAAGAAACAGCATCCGTTGAAACGAAAGTATCAGAACCCAGTGCTGAGAGAAGATGAGAACTGATCGTCAAGTGTGACTGCTGAGCACAGTAACCCCCTAGAGGGAAGACACTTTGTATGTCACTGAGGAAACCTTTCTCTAAGGAAGGTGGCAGTGAATGGAGCTAGGGCTACTGAGTCTGTAGAATGACACGGCTCATCTACATTGCCCATAAGCCAATATCCTGAGAGAAGGAGAGGATCCCTCATGTCATTAGGAAGAATTGCCAAAAGACAAGCAGTGACTCCGACTTCCCAAGGTTAGACATGCAGGACTAAGAATCCTTCCTGACAAATCAAAACTGTTCCTGTTTCTTTGGGTATATTAGACAGGAGCAGTGGGGAAGAATGGAGTTCTCTCTCTCAAGTAAGAGTGAGGCCTAGGACCTGCTGTTAGCCAGCCCAGCAAGGTTGGACTGGGGATTGTTGACAGAAAACCCTCCATCTAGAGTCACCAAAAGCCTGAAGATCAGGCCAGTGACCAGAGGAGGAGGTGGTTTCCCAGTAGTAGAGGCTGCCCCACCTTTACCCCTAGGGGATGGAGACCGTTCTCCTAGGAGTGTTGGCCTGCATGAAGGGAACACTGATCCTAGCATTAACCTTAACATTCCTTGTGCCTGCCTGTTGTGGGGTAGCCTGCTGCCATGACCGTGCATTAAGGAACCACTTAAAGGCTTCCCTGGAACACACATTGAAAATTGTTGTCCTAAAAAATGCAGGCCCCATGAGAGTTGACTAGTCTTTGCTTCTTATCACTCTGTATTAACTGTGTTAACTAACTCTGGATTTTAGGGATCCAAATTCCATTGCGACTCTGGCTGCCTTTGAAAAGGCTGTGGAATGGGCCAGAGCAGGCAAATTCACCCAGCAAGACATCGATGAAGCCAAGCTTGCTACCTTTGCAGCGGTAGACGCTCCTGTAGCGCCTTCTGACAAAGGTATGGCATTCTCCCTCCCAAGTCCTGAACTGAATTAAACCATGTGACCTCTCCTGAACTGGAACCAACGAATTCTCCATGCTAACTTGGTGGCTTTCGTGAGTCGCTGCTCACTACTTCTGCTTCTTGAGCAGGGAGAACAGTGTTTTTATTTCAGCTCTGCCAAGTTTTCATTGTGTCGTGACTGCAGAGTAGACTGGGTGGGATGAGCGAAATAATATTTACCAAGCGAAAAGGGGACGGGGGGGAGGAGAGCTGCCATCAGCATAATGAATTCTGTCTTCTAGGGGTGAATCAGTTTTTGCTCGGGATCTCTGATGAGATGAAGCAGAAGCACAGGGAGCATCTTTTTACCGTTTCTAAGGATCACCTGACGGATGCAGCCAGCAAGTGAGTTTGGGTGTTTCGCTGAGAAGTGCTTCACAGAGCCTTGCAAGACACACCAGGGGAAGCCAAGATCGTGTTAGATGTGTAATCATGCCCTTGTGTGCCGCATTAAATCTTCATGAGCAAAACAAGTGTTCCCAGCCACTGCCGGAAGTTGTGCTAGAACCCTTCTGCAACTTGTGAAATCAAAGGAAGCGGTGACTTGGTTGATAGTAGAAAAGGCTGGTCACATGATGGTTTGATTTGTGGTTCTATAAATAGGCCTTATGCTTAGAACAGGGAGAGCCATACTGTTCAGTCTTTGGGGGTGGGGCGTGCCCTGAATTTTCCGTTTTCCCTGGCTGTGGAAGGTATCTCTCCATAGATTAATAATACTGCCTTTTGATTTCAGGTACCTTGCTGCTGGGAGGAGCACAAGAGGACTGGCTGTTCTTGGACCAGAAAATGCTGACACTGCCAAAGACCCTACATGGGTTATACGATAACACTTGCTGTCGAGTTTGCTTAGACAGGATAAACCAGGCCATATGCCAAATAGCAAAATAACCTAAAATCTTCCTCCTTGTATACATGCCTGCAAGCAGGGACAAGAAACTGTTGTGCACTGTGTGACTGGAGAACCTACAACAGTGTTTGTTGAAGGAAGACATTGCTCTGTATCCGTCTGTCACTAAATCCATAGCAGCTTTTCCAACGGAACTCTAGGCAATCCATCTGAAGTCAGTCATGTCTGAGTACCACTGAAGCCATTGAAGCATGTTACTTGGGATGAACGAGTCACCAACGATTTTCGGTTGATCATGCTTGATGCAAATCGATATTTTTATAGAAGCACAAAATTTAAAAATTTCAGACAATTTACCTTAAATCATGTCAAACTAGTAGAATTGTTTTTTTAAAAAACAATAAAAACTTTGAAATTCTCCAGTGTTCTTGGTTGAATATTTTGTATCCACTTTGTCTGAATTAGTATCTTCATTCCTTGTCGTGGTACTTTTGTTCCACGTGAAGTGATAGTGCCTTTCTAACATGCCCATTCCACCTTCCCTTGAGGATAGACATCCTAGATTGCAGGGTTGAGAGACTTGTACGAACAAGTCCAAAGTGGATACATGGTGGGACATAAACAATTGTTCCTAATATCTGGTGTTGTAAACATTTGGAAAGTAGATAACTTGGCAATTAAACAGTCTTGTCTTCACTCTTGGGTTTCCATTTCATGTGTGATGGCTGTTGGGGTTCTAACTAAGGGGAAGAGGCCTTAAGTCTAAATTGTATTCTATTCCTGCAACTGCTTGCATTCCAAACTGGCTCGTAAGACAAAGATCAAAGTACAACTGGAGCACAGGCAATGAGCATTCTGTTCAGATAGTATTGCCCCAAAGGTAGAATAGGAATCCGCCATTAACTCAATTGCTTTTCTTACGTTTTCTCCTGAATATGTATCTAAGAGATGGGCTATGCCAGCTTGCTGAAACAAGACATTGACTTGTACATGGAGGGCATCCCAAGCTGTAGTTACCAGTTTCCAAGATTTCCAAGAAGGCTGACCTTGGAGCTCTAGCTAGAAACATGTTTCAAATAAAGCTTTTCAACAAAGGCAGTTTATTTCTTCAGCTGAGGGTAGGAGGGGTGATGAGGCTGTTGCAGACATTGGGTTGTGTAACAGACTGGTCCAAACCTTATTTGTAATACAGTATTTTATTCCACTTGGGGGTATACATACATTTTTAAAATTTTATTTGACACAAAACTAAGCCTCTCTATGTTCATTGAGTGTAAACACTTATCTCTGGTAAAAGTGCAAGAGATGAATAACATCTAACTGAGTGCATAGACCGGTTTTGCACAGGTTACTGCTAAGGATCACATTGGTATTGGGTTATCTTAAGTCAGGTGCTAGGTTTTTGTGTGTGTATAGGAGCCTAAGACAATGCCTGGTAGAAAACTTCTGTGACACTTTGCTTTTTCTCCCCACATAAAGTGCTGATACAATAACTTAGATGTTACAAAAAGAAGCTGTAACAAGTACTCCAAAGCATTGTAGACACACAACAGAGAGCAATTATGACTTCAACATTACAACTCCTTGGTCATCAGCTCAGGCTTCTGTAGGTTTTGGTCTGCGCACATGCTCCAGCTGGCCTGAATCTGAAATATCGTAGCTGGTCTTGTATTTGGCCAAGATTTTCATCAGTGGACGGAGCTTCAACCACCACTGTTCCCTAGGAATGCGGTGCCTGTTGAGGATCAAAGAGAGCTCATCGTTATTTATTAGGCTGTATACAACAAATTCCTATAAAAATGCATATAAAATTAAGTAGTCTAAATGTTTTTTAAAAAAATACAATTAAGCTTGTAGTGGCCTTGAGTTTGTTGAACTACTTCAACAGATTAGCAAGATTTGAATCCAGTGGCACCTTAAGAAGATTCGCAGGATATCAAATCTCCTGAAGGGAGCTTTGACTTCAGAACGCTTACATCTTAATTTGGGGGGAGGGGGGTGAGTGGTGTGTGTGCATCCTTGTGAGCCTGAAAGTCACGATGACTTCTGGTGACCCCTAGTGGAGCTAGGATGTTTCAGAGAGGTGGCTTTGATATTTCCTGCCTCTGCATCCCAGTTCTGGTATTCCTTGGAGATTGCCCTCCCAAGTACTCGGGATGGGGGTGGTCAGGGCATATCTTGATCTTTAAGGTGCTACTGGACTTCAGTCTTGCTGTTCTGCTGCAGACCAACACAGGTACCCATCTGAAACTTTTAACACGCAAGGTTTCTAAACTCAAAACAGTGGAACTGGTAACTGATGGGGAAGCTGTACAAGGGAAGGGAGCAGGACCACCCTCATACTACCCTTATAAGTAGCTGACTTCTATTGACAACAGGGATGGGCAAGAACCAAGAAAGGAACACTGGGTTCGTGCACCAACCAGGCTGCTTCATTTCATACCAGTTCGTCTGGTCGTGCCATTCCCGAATCCAGAAATGGACCACCTTTTTTCTGTGGAGGTTCATTAGAGCGGTTTAGCCAGACGGCCTGGTGTTGATTTAATCAATTCATAACACTGGGGGTGGACTTGTGAAGAGCCCTAGAACCATCCATAGCAGTTGTCCATAGCTTGATTGGTAGCTCTGGGAGTCTACGACGGAGCTCCCATCCTTCTGTATGGGAGCAGGTTGTGTGTGGGTATATATGTGTGTGTATACACACACACACACACACCCTGACTCAGCTGCTTTCACTTTGCAGCCTGAACGGAGAGGAGTTAGTTGTGTGAGAGCGAGTTAGGAAGAATTGCTTGCTGCATGGCTGATTTAAGGGTAGGCTAGAGCTGAGCTTTCCTGCAGGCACCTGCTTTGGGGGGCTATAACTCCGACATCCCAAATCCAATCTTTGCCAAACTTGGAAGGCGGGTGGAGGAGAGCCTGCTGAAGACTCCCTGTGAGTTTGGCATCTCTAATGCATGAAGGGGCTATTCTACCACCTTCCAAACTCTCGAATCGGTTGGGGAAATGGGAAAGGTTCGTGAAAGTTTGTGTAATCAAACGAACCACCATTTCCCATCCCTAACTTACAATAGTGTCAGTTAACAGCACAAGCAGGCTATTTGGGGGAGCTATCAACACCAGCCAGCTACAGCCCTTCTTGAACACAAAAAATGACAAGCTGTGATTTCTCCTTTGTGTTTGAGCAGTTTAAAACAAGTTACTGATAACATCACTAGGAATAGACTGACTGACTCTACTGAGCCATTTGGTCCAGCATGGTTTACTGCAATATGCTGTTTCACTGTGCTATATCTCCATCTCAGCAGGCTTCTCTATGATTTGAACTCAGTATCTTTCCACAGAAGAGAATCCTTTCACTTTGACCAAAAATATTTTTTCCATATAATTTGCAGTTTTGCTAGCCTCAGGCATACAGTGTAACACCAATACTAAAATTCACTTAAGGTACATGCTCTGGAGTCTCCATATAGACTACATGAGGAATTTTGTCTGAAGGAAGAGAACTGGGCATACAGTGATTTTTAGTGCATGGAAATGATCTTTAAAATAACCTCTAATGCTTCCTGAGAATTTGTATGCTAAAGGATTTCAAAGGAATTATAGCACTCGTGCCTGTTGAGGCTGAGTAATCCACAATTTTTTATTAATATTTGGACTGACTTTCCGTTCTTAACTTCCAGTGCAAATACATAGCATTTTCCTTACAGAAGCACAAAAGGAGATAGCAACATTACTCGCCATGTGCCAAGCCTCAGGGCCAGTGCTGGCTTCCAATCTGTGCCAAGCTGTGTGCAACTAATAAATTTATATGGTAATCTGATGACATCAGGGTTCCTTTCAGCATTTTACTTACTCGAAGTCTGTTTCATCCCTAAGCTGGCCCACAGGCTGGAAAACAAGATTCCGCCGTCGCATGCCCAGGAGGCAGACAGTGTCTTCAGTGTTGGTAAATATTTTTCCTGAAAAAGGGGTTATTTCCTTATATACAAAAATTACAAGAGAATATCGTGTTCACAAAAAATGAAATACTAAGAATAAATCCCTGTAATATGTTTAGGTTTTGAAATACTACAGCGAACAATAACTTGAACTGAAGTAGTGATTGATGTAGTTTTGTAATTAGGGATAGGCACGAACTGGCTGACAAACTAAAGTTCATCATGAATTTTGGCTGGCTTGTGGTTTGATGTTCGTGAACTGAGGATCTGCCACAAACTGCGGATAGCCATAGGCAGCAGAAAGCAAGGATTTCCAAACAGTTGAGCAGTTGGAACCAGAAAAGCGACAAGGAGCAGAAAGCAGGGTTTAAATGGCCCTGAGCCATTTAAACCAAACAGCTGAGTGGCAATCCCGCTGTTCAGCTGTTTGGAAACCCCTGCTTTCTGGTCTCCATGAAAATCCATGGGGAACAGAAAGCAGGGGGTTACATTTTAAATGGCCATGAACCGATATGAACTGGATTGGTTAGCGAATCAACCTGGTTTGTATGGGTTCATGGTTCAGCCACAAGAATGTGATTTGTGCCCATATCTAATTTTGTGGTGTATTCATTTTGGCAGACAGAGATTTACACCCCTGGCCATATTTAGCTTTGATTTCTGATTGGAGTATTTTTCAGTGTTACCTGAGTGGGATAAAAATGTAACATATAAATATTAAAAATGTACCAAATAAAGGGATAAAATCTTAAAAGAAATAACTACATTACCTTCCTCTGGTTTCCATGCAGCCACCAAGAAAACGAGAGAGAGAAAGAGAGAGAAATACTTGTAACTATGATACTGTGACCTCGTACACATTTACAAATTATACAAAAATTTAAGGATTGGGGTGGGTTACAATTTTGATATTACACACTTTAGCTTTCATTTAGATGAGAATCTACCAAGTAGCAGTGACCAAAAGGACTTTGGGGAATGAGCGGGCCAATCCCACTTGAGTTTACTGGGACCTATACACAAACAACTTTGCCCAGGGATCACAGATGTAGTGTTCCTTAGAAAACTACAGGTTGAGTGAATTGTAAAAAGGTAAACAAACCCCTGGAGTAAAAACAGCTTTTTATTTGTTCTTGCTCATGTAAACAAAGGACTGTTGATTCAGGATAAGTACTTTGAATTGGCGACCTCTGTTACTCATAGTGTAAAACAAGCCCATTTACTTAGCGTAACTAAGTACACTTATTTGGAAGTTGCACTGATCCAGTTATGGTTGGACTGAGTAATGTTAAGTTTGTACACTTTTTTCATTTTTATTAATTTCCGCTAGCCTTCCCCCACCCTAAAATAGACTCATGAGACACTTTACATAGATTGAGTTATACCATCTAAAAATAATTCAAAACAACCAAGGATTTTTTTAAAAAAGCAACAGGCAGAAGAGGATTTTGTTAGGGATAGTGCTAAGGCTTTGAGACCTCTTGACTTATGTTTGTCTTCAGGATACCAGTTCAAGATCCTGCCGTTTCAGCACACCTTTATTCTTAGGCAGCAATTAGTGAGGTCTAGCTTTTAGCTCTATTTTAATAGTATGTTGGTTTGTGCTATTCTGGCACTATTTGTATTATGGTTTTTGTCATTTATTAGTTCATTATCAACTAATAACCATTCTGAGAACTATTATGATGGAAAAGTGGGATTCAAACATTGTAACAAACAAGCATTGCTTCTGACTAGGAAGACACAGAAGGGCCTTATCCAGATACCTTAACATTTAGGATTACCCAGGATCTGTCACTCTCTCAAATATCCTGGATAGACTGTTCACAGGTGTCAAATATGGGAGATCGAGTTCTGCCCAGGTATGACTAGGCAGCCATTGTTCTGGTATCTAGCACTTAGCCATTATCCTAAATGTTATCACAGAAGCCCATGGTTTGTCCTTCAGTAACCTAACTGTACTTCAAATAGCCCCCTATAACCATAATTCTGATTCTCAAGCAGGTTCTAATAACATTTATGGAATGACATGGTGTATACTTGGGATAAAGTCTGTGTTTGCTGGTAAAGAATCTGGATTTTGAACGTGTACAGACTGCTCAAGTCTTGTCTTCAACAAAGCTAGCAAGCGACAGAAAAACATGAACTTTAATTTTATTGAAGTGCTGATCCATGAGACAAGTGCAATATCTGGAACAGGTTTTGCCAACAGGTAGCTCACTGGAAGCTTGTGTATCCCCCTAGGAGGTCCAGGAAAAGAAAAGATCTGCTCTAGGCTTTTTGTTGTTGTTGAGCTTTTACTTTGTAAGATTTTTCTCTCTGCTGCTTAGCTGACAGCTTCATTTCTGGTGAACAAAACTTGGTAACAAGCCAGGGCAGGGGGAGAAGTAACTTGAGATGTTCCACATTACTCAAAAGTAGTTCTTGTTAAAGAAAAGGTTAGTGACCTCTGATCTCAGCTGACCGAATGTAGGAAGGTTTTCTAGACTATCCTGCTAAACACATTCAGTTGATTATATTGCAATACTTCTCAAGTGTTATAATTGCTATGGGTTGCTAGCTGAGTCACTAGGGTTGCCAGATCCGTCAGAAACACCGGCAGGGGGATGGGGGGGACATTCCAGGAGTGGGTTGGGGGTGACGCTCTGGTTTTGGGGGAAAAACTCTATGGTAAAATCAGCCTCAAACCATAGAGTTTTGGACAAAAACCAAAGTGTCACCCTCTGACATCACTGATGTGCCTACTTCACTTCTGGGTGACATGGGCACATTGTGTTTCTTTCCACCAGTGTTGCCCGCTGCAGGAGCCCACAAAATGGGGGATCCCCCACCAACTAGGGAATGACAACCCTATGAGTCACACATCTAGATCAACATCCAAGGAAATGCTCACAGTGGCTTACCTCTTTGATGGGATTCTTTCAGCTTCTTTGAAAGCCACAGGACAGCCTTTGCTGCTATTTTTGTCCCAAAGTTTCGATCAAAGGGAGAAGGGGCACCACCCTGTGAAATTCATCAGTTAGACAATGAGATGGAGTTTCAGCTCCAAAAATCAAAATCAACACATGGGGACCTGTAATAAAATGAGGATTGTTGACATTTTTGGTTGTTAAAACAGAAGTTAAAACAGTCCCAGCTTTATTTAGGATGGTGAAAGCGAAGGTGAATTGTGAAGTACAGTTAGATCTCTCTAAACTGGGTAAGTGGGCAACAGTGGGGCAAATGAAATTCAGTGCAGGTAAGTGTAAGGGGATATATGAGGGAACAAAAAGTCCTGACTAACTACATGATGATGGGGTCTGAACTGACTGAGACCCCCCTGGGGTTAGAATGGGTAGCTCAGTGAAAATGTGGACTCTGTGTGAGGCAGCAGTGAACAAGGGAAACTCTGCTGGGGATTATTAGGAAAGGGATTGAAAATAGCCAGCATTGTAATGCCTTTATATAAGGCTATGATGGGACCTCATTCGTACTGCTGTGTGCAGTTTTGGACACTATATCTAAAAAAACGGATCTTGCAGAGCTGGGAAAAGTACAAAGGAGGGCAACCAAGATCATGAGGAGGTTGGGGGTCCTACGAGAAAAGACTTGAAAGTCTAGGGAAAAGGACAGTGTAGGGGAGATATGATAGAGGTTTCTAAAACTATGCATGAGGTGGAGAAAGTGATAGAGCATGTTGGGAAATACTTCTTTATTCAACAAGTAATTAAACTGCGGGATTCACTGCCAGTGGACCAGTGATGGCCATGAACACAGACAGCTTTAAAAGGACGTGGTGGTGAGGAATCTCGTTTTCCCATCTTGTCTTACTTCACACCCCCTCTCTTGCAGCCTTCTGGCTGGGGTCATCAGTGCTGCCCAGTGGGCTCTGGGGGCCCCACTCCCTGTCCCCCACAGCAGCCCCATCTTTCAAAGGCTGGCTGTTTCCCCTTTGCTGGCCCTGTTCCCAGCCCCAAGCAATGGTTGGAATGGACAGCCAAACCCCTGCTTCTTCCTGCTGCTGGTTTTGCCCTCTTGCCCCCCCCCCTCCTGCTTCTGCTACCTACTTCCTTTCTTTCCTCTCGCTCTGGCTGCTGCCACTTTCAGCAATGTTTGAGGGCTGCCTAGCAACCAAAAATGGCAGCTGAAATCCTGCAGCACAGCTTTGGATGTTCTTATGCTCTTTCCTGGTAAAAATGTGTGTGTGTTTTTTAAAAAATAACTTTTTTCATTCTCATATTTTTTGTGCAAAGTTGGGTGTTGCTCCAGGTTTGTGGGAAAATCTGATGTCCCAGTGTGTGGTTTTTTAAATCTGCACACTGGCATCATGTTCACAATTAGATATGTTGATTTGTAACAGATTATTTTCTCATGAAACTGGGGCTGCATGTGTGGGTGTAAACCTGGGTGCTGCATATATAAATCCAGCTCTGAAACCCCATCTGTTGTAGCCCTTGGTATCTGGGTGCATTCCAAGACAGCAGGAGCTATGCATGTGGAAACCTTTGCATGCATATTGTCATACCTTGGTCAGTTTTCAGTCTCTCTTTCCAGCACAAAAATTACCTGTTGCATGTGACCCAGGACATTCTTTCGGGTGTCAAAGACTCCTTTCCCTTCCTCAGAATACAGCTGGTAAATGAAATCGGTGGTGTAATTCTCGCTACTGTTTTCATTCCTATATTAAAGAAACAATAGAGAAAACTTTGTGTGACTTTACTAGAGAGATGCTTGATAAAGGCTGGAGCATTGCTAGTCTTCATACAACTCTATAACCTCTCTCTCTCAAAACATGACTAGTACGCCCTATTTGTGTGTGTGTGTGTGGGGGGGACCTGTGCCCAATTGGCATGCATGGGGGGAGGAGGAGGAGAAAGAGATGAGCATGTCTGCCTTGCGTGTGCTGTGTGAGACCATGGTCCCATCAAGCCCAGGATTGGCAACTCTAACTGCTGGCAGCTCTCCAGGGACTTCAGAAGTAGTATAATTTAGCTGTTTATTCCTTGGACCGGACCTAGAGCAAAGCATATACTGCCTCACTGAGCTGAGGACACACTGCTCCGGGGATTATTCCTCCCCCTTCTCTGCACCATTTCCCCCAGCAACTCTGTGCTTGATTCTACATATACTCAGTGAACCATCAGTTTACCTCAACACCAAGCCACGCTGAATACTGGTTTTCATCTTCTCAGTCAGATGTTCCACATTGGCCTATGAAGAAGCATTTTTCCCAAGTGAGTCATGGCATCATTGGCATGTAATATTGCCCATTGCTAGCCTTTGGTTCTGTGAACGTTCCTAAACAGTGCTCGCTCTGTTACCAAATTTTGCCTTTATTTCTCATTCAAACCCTTTTATAGCCATCAAGTCCAACGCCTGTAGAGAGGACTGAACACAGGAACTTGGCTTTTGCCCTGTTGCATCTGGTCCAGACAAGCAGTTTAATTTGTATTTTACAAAAGATCCTTCCCTCAATCCCACCTTTGGCATTTCAAGTGACAAATCAGCTGATAAACACGCATGTGTGAGCTGGCTCACAGACACTGAACTTAAACCTTTGTGGAGAAGGCATGGGTTCTGCGTACCTGGAGTTCCCGGATATCAAACTTCTCTTCAAAGATGTACGCAACATCAGCCCCTGCAGCCAGGCCTCCCATGCTCGCCAGGTACCCGCAGTAGCCACCCATGGTCTCGATGATGAACACACGCCGCTTTGTCCCACTTGCTGACAACTTGATTCGGTCACAGGTCTAACAAAGGACAGTGATTAATAAACCCAGTTCTCACCATCGGAATGGTGATGTTTTATCATGCAGTGGGCACATGCCTTTTCCGTTTGTCACACCCATAGCAATCATGCATCATAAAACCTAAGACTAATTAAAAGCAAACTAAAAAAAAATCAACTTGTCATTCAATCAGCAATATTTCTTCTCAGCCATAATATTAAATACATGAATCTGGGCAAAACTTTTTTAAAAAGGTTTTGCATTGGACATTTTGATGCTCTTGATTCTTATTCCTAGGTTGAGTTATGTTTTTAAGACTAATAACAACAAAAATTGTCTGACATGCGGTGGTGAAGGCTATACCGATTTGGTACTCTCGTATAGGAATTGGGAGATACTGCATAGAATGATCTTCCACTTCCTATGGAAGGTGTGGTGGAAGCAGCAGAGTGTGGCTCTCTGGAGTTCTTTTCAGTTCTGCCAGCACCATTGAAACTTCTCCAGACAGGAGGCTGCACCCAGACTCAGCCCCACTCCCCAGAGCTGGGATACTTAGCTGTTCCATGGGAAAGGGACAAGGGAAGAAGAAGAAGAGATTGGATTTATACCCCGCCCTTCACTTGGAGTCTCAGAGTAGCTTACAAACTCCTTCCCCTCCCCACAACAGACACCCTGTGAGGTGGAGGCTATAACAGATAGCAAAAAATTAGCCAAAAGACAATCCAGTAAAAAAAGCGTACAAACTAAAGTGATTGCTATACTGGTCTTACCCTAGTCTTTAAAAGCCAGAATAATAACCTGCCAAAGCTACCCACAGCATTTCTCAAATACAATAATTAAACTATCACTTTGTCTGCACTCATTCCTGAAGGAGCTCTGGGCGGTAGACATACACCTCCCCTCTTCCTTTACATGCATAACAAACTTGTGAGGTGTGTTAGACACAAGGAGAGGGAGGATCCAGCCTAAGGCGGCCATCATTGCTGACTCAGGATTTGAACTCGGAATTCTCCGCTGGTCTCATACAACATTGTACCACACAGGCTTATTCTGACACTTTTGGGACATGAATAAATGGGCGAGAATGGCAAGCTCTGCCTGTGATTTGCTTGCTGGTTTTGCCACAGTAATTTCCTCTGCCAAAGGGGGCAAATTGGTTTTTCAGAGGAACATTCCAATTGCTCCACTCGCCATGGGAACTGATGCAACGAAGCTGTCAAGCGGCTCTCTAGTTGCAGAGGCTGTCTTTGGATCCCAAAATTCTTTCCTTGCAAGAGGTCTTCATACACTCTGGGCCAGCTCCAGGTTTTGTCCCCTGCACATTAAGTGCATCACCGACATGATGCAAAGACATGCCTACAGTCTCCAAACTGGGGGCAGCAATCACAACATACCGATTTGGTACTCTCGTGTAGGAATTGGGAGATACTGCATAGAATGATCTTCCACTTCCTATGGAAGGAGTGGTGGAAGCAGCAGAGTGTGGCTCTTTGGAGTTCTTTTCAGTTCTGCCAGCACCATTGAGGCTTTTCCAGACAGGAGGCTGCACCCAGACTCAGCCCCACTCCCCAGAGCTGGGATACTTAGCTGTTCCATGGGAAAGGGACGAGGGAAGAAGAAGAAGAGATTGGATTTATACCCCGCCCTTCACTTGGAGTCTCAGAGCGGCTTACAAACTCCTTTCCCTTCCCCTCCCCACAACAGACACCCTGTGAGGTAGGTGGGGCTGAGAGAATTCTGACACAAACTGCTCTTTCAGGAACAGCTGTGCCAGAGCTTGTGACTGACCCAAGGTCACATAAGCAGGTGCAAGTGGAGGAGTGGGAAATCAAACCCGGTTCTCCCAGATTAGAGTCCACGCACTTAACCACTACACCAAACTGGCAGACAAGAGAATTTATAAGACCATGCACAGCAGATGATTAAAGAGAAACACCTGGACTAAGGAAACAGGTGAGGCTAGGCCAGACCCAGGGATAGGGCTATTAAGTGAATGGGGAGGGGTGGATGATTGGCTCCTCAAGGACAGAAGAGGTGGGAGTAAGACCAGGGAGAGAAATAAAGCTAGGCTACACAGACTAGGGAGGAAGGAAGCAGCCCAACAACAGAGTGGGAGGCTGAGTGCTGTTCCAGGGGAGAAAAGGAGGAACCTGTGGTGTTCACCTGGCATCCTATCTTACCCAATTCTGAGACCCGGGGTGCTCCAACAGGAAGGCATAGAGGAGGGAGAATGACCTTGCAGAAGGGGGAGCTTACAAGGCTTACAATGTACCAAATCTCCCCATGACACTGTCCCAGCGAACAGCATTGGTCAGGGCAACCAAGGCTTTTTGCACCTGAAACCCAGGCCTCAGTCCAGATTGAAATGGATCTATATAACCTTCCTCCTCCAAGATCACCTGAAGCTGTGTACCCACCACCCACTCAAGCAACTTTCTCCATACATGGAATATTGGCCATTTGGCAGTAGTTGTTTAGGTCAGTGGGTCCAGGGATGCCTTCTTCAGGAGGGGTCATGTGACTACCTCTTTCACCGAGATCTGTTTATTACCTCTCAGACCCATCTGATGAACCCAGCCCAGCTTAAGACTAATAGCCACAAAGGGCAAGGGTTCAATCTTGGTATGGTAAGTGGCACACTTCAAAGCAGCCTGTCTGCCCCATCAGTCCTCATCAACTGAAAGTCATCCATACAGTTTGGACCAGACTGCACTCCAATGGGATCGTGAGACTGAACTGCATCAGCTATGAAATCTAAGTCATGGCAGAAGCTACAAAAGCATCCCAGTGGGCCTGTATGTTTTTCAGGAGTACAGTATAAGAGTCCCTTCGCCACCTGGAAAAACTTGACTGGATGGTGCTGCAGAAAAGTAAATGTGCTTCACTGCCACCACCACCACCACCACCACAGAGTGGGCATGAGTATGTGCTCTCACCTGGGTTCATTCACATTCACTTTGAATTTTCCTCCATTTGCACTCCGACTGTCTGATCAAATACATCATTGTTCCATACAATGTATCATAATCCTAGCTCTTGGCTTTTAATAAATCAACTTGAAACAATTAACAAAGTTAAAACCTAATCCAAATGTTGGAATTATCTTAATTTATCCCATCAATTACATTTTCTGCATTGATGAAGTATCATGCAGTATCTTACTAATATTTACTGCTTTGCCTAATGTGCTCTGTGAACCAATTAACTTTAATAAATCCTTTGTGGTCCATCCCATTATATTTTGATAGGATTCTATTCAATATGCCTGCTAAAATTTTGTAAGCTTTATTCAGTAATAAAATAGGCCTGAAAAACATGATTCAACCTTTATGGGTTTTCCCCCCTTCTTTATGCACTGATTTGGACCCTGAATGCAAAAAAAAGCCATTGTCCATGGTATAGTTTTATATCTGGCATAAATCCATGCTAAATTATTATTTTATGTTTTACAGAACTCCATCCCTATGCCCTCAAGTTTCTTGATTTCAGAAAAGACATCTTGATCGGCTATGGGAAGACTTAGTTCCTCCTGCTCTCCTTGGGAAATCAGCAGAAATGGTTGAAAGTTGTTCTCTTACACAGGTCTCATATGCTCCCATATAGTTTTGATAGCTATGCTTCTTACCAGTTTGGAAAAATAAAGCTTATTTCTAATTCATTCTTTAATATTACTGTCGTGAAGGAATAATGGAAGGTAGCGACTATAAATTTATCTATAAGTTTGAACCTTACCTCCCATTCCATTGTATTTGAAAAAGTGTGCCTGCACACAAAAGCTCATACCTTGAATAAACCTTTGTTGGTCTTAAAGGTGTCACTGGACTCTAAATTTGTTCTGGAACCACTCTAGATCAGGATCCTCAAATAGTTCACACATCCCCAAGAAGACTCAGGAAAAGATCATGAAAATACCTTCTCTGGGATTTTTTTTAAAAAAGCCTTTATTGGGTCCCTGCCACACGGCAGGGAAAAGGACGGCTGAACTGCGGCTAATCTGAGCCGCACCAAGGTTGAGATGCCGCGGCGGGATCCCACGGATCCCCCGAGCCGCAGCGCGGCACTCCCCGGCACAATCAGATGCCGGGGAGGAAGAGTCAGATGGGAGGGGGAGTCTGCCGAACTGCGCATGCCCGAGCATGCGCAGTACGCCCGGGGGTCGGGATGCGCCGGCGCAATCCCACGGCCCGGCTTAAGGCACTTACTTTTTTAGTGCACGTTTTCAGCGGTAGGGACGGATCAGGGACGGGCAGGCAACGATTCCCATATGTTGCCGTGGGATCGCGCCCGTTTGCTCCGCCCCTGTTCCGTCCCCCTCCCGGCCCAAAACGCCTCGTATGAACAGGGCCTTTGTAGGTTTTCTCCTTGCTGCTTAGTTAATGGCTTCATTTCTGGTGCCCTTCCTAATCCATGTTCTAATTTAGGACAGAACAAATATTGGAACCATGGGGGAAAGTAGCTCAGGACATTTTTCATTACTCAGAAATTGCTCTCATTAAGGAAAAGTTGGCAACTCTTGGTGCAATGACTGTTTTAATTAACTATCATAATCCAAAGGGAGAAACAAAAAGAGACTCAATTCTCAGATCTGAGTAATACCTACATCCAGTGTTCCCTCTAAGCTGAGTTAGTGTGAGCTAGCTCACAGTTTTTTAGCCTCCAGCTCACACATTTTTGTCTTTGCCCAGGAAGGATGGCTCCAGAGCAAAGTAATGTATGCAGTCACCAAATCACTCGCTCGCAACTTTAATGCCAGTAGCTCACAAAGTAAGATTTTTGCTCACAAAACTCCACAGCTTAGAGGGAACATTGCCTACATCTTGTTCAAATTATATTTCCTCAGTTCTTTTAGGCTACTTTCCAAAATTACTTATAAAGCCTTTTCTGAATATGTATGATTCCATTAGTTATGTTTCCAATTTTATCTGTAAGCAGGTTCATTAATCTATTATAACCACCTCCAAATACTACTTCTCTCTCCATAATATCATCTAGAGTTATTGTTGATTAAGCAAGAAAGATTCATTATCACGTATTTAGTGTTCAGATGATTTTATTATCTACTAACCCTTTCAACAGTAAAGGTTTTCCATCTCTAGGTACATCTCTAAATAAATACGGAGTTTAATTTCCAGCCAATAAATATCACTACACTACACCTCTAGTTTGTGTGTTTGCACTGGGTAGGTATTTTACCTCTGAGCAGGTAAGCTTCATGACTTCTTAAATGTTTTTGTTGAGGAAACAGTGTATATCCTTCTAATGTCAATGCTGTTTTTCGTGTTGTTTGTTGGGGAGATTTAATCCACTCCCATTCCTAGTGTCTGTGTGTATGGGGAGGAAGTGAGATTTCTGCCTACTGAAAGATAGGGTTGTCAACCACCTAGAGAAAAAAAATGCCTTGCACCTTTAACAGAGGCTTAATGCATGGGACTGGGTGGTTGAAGCTTTTCAAGGCATAGAGGCAAATAACATCATCTGGTCAATAACATCCATCTGTTAAAGGGGCAGGACATTTTGTTTTCTCTGGGCTGTTGGCAATCCCACTGAAAAACACAATGGCTATCATGGAATGTTAGGTCATATCGGCCTTAAAGCGCTCACATAGACATAATTTCCGAGCCACTTACTGAAAATCAAGGAAGCTACACTAATTTAATATTAGCCTGGGTAATGGTTGGCATTTCTACTTCTTACAGGACAAACTCATCTTTTTGTTTGCTAAATCTCCTTGATTTTATAGTCTAATCCATAAAGGAAATCTGATCACAGGGATGAGTCTGTGTGTCAGTTTCAAGACTCAGGCAAGGTGGCCTTCACAGTCCACAATTCCAGATCAATCCTAGGCTATTAACTACATAAAGACTTCTGAATACACACAATTTTAAACAGTCACATTCCCTAACATCAATGCAACTTGGAAACAGGGCATTTTTTCCCGCCATCTTACCTCCACAATGACATTCAGGGAGGTGTCAGCGCCAATACTGAAGTCGCTGCCTGGCACATTGTTGCTAATAGTGGCAGGCAACATGCAGATAGGGACGCAAAACTCGTCAAAGTGGGATCGCGCTTCAGTTAACTGCAGGCAGCCCTCATAGGCCTGAAGCAGTGGGACAAGGAGTGATGAGCAACATGCATTTGGTCCTCGCTTGGCACAGTTGTTAGGCATTCTTCTAGTGACTCCTCGTGTGTGGCAATGGAAAGGTTGAGTTGCCAGTGGTGCAAATGACACAAAGCAGGTGATTTTTAAGGGTGTTTTTTCCCCTCACATAATCCTGCAACAGGTCACTGGATTTGCATTGGTGCAGAAGAAATTCAACAGGAGTTAGTTGAAAAAGGAAACAACTGAAGTGTGGAATACACAGAGCCACTGAAACAGGCTTAGTGGAGAAAAGGGGAAGGCGATCAGACTGAAGAAAAAGGCTTCTAGAACCTAACTGAACTTAAATGTTCTTTATAGTCCAAAAGGAGGAGGAAAAGAAGGAGACTAGGAACGTCAAATTTAAAACGCCATTAGCCATGGAGCCCACAGATTTTGGCATGGCTTACTAACGTGTCCTAATTTGTAGTCACCTCACTCCTTCAGATGCTTTGCACACACCATACAACTCTGGGAGGTGGTCTGTCAAATCACAGTGGGGCTTTGGAGGAGGCAGAAGCAATTTACATTTCTCTACTGATTTTACCTACTTTAAAACTCAGGCCGATATAATTCTCTTCCCTTCCCCAGTTCTCACCAGAGGACTAGGGGCATCAAGTTAGTAGCAACACTTTGCACTTGTTTGAAATGTTTCTGTTGGACATAGAAGTTGTACATACACTTAAAGTATGTTTTGTGTGCATTAACAGGATTTGTAACACAGACCCTGTGAGGCATGTATGTATCAGGTGCAGTGGATTAGTATGCTCAGTGCTAGGGAAATTCTCCATAATCCATATTCTTTGGTAAAAGAGGCTGGTCTGCCTGTTGAAGAAAGGGGTGCTAAAATTTTGAATAATGATGTTTCCGTATTTGTGAAGTGTTCCCTCATATTAAAAAACAACAACCCAGTGCTCATAAATGGAACTAGCACATCAGTGAGAGATTCAGGATACCTGATATACTAACTTTCTCTACACAGATATTTTTTAACATGGAGAAGCGTTCAAAAATATGTCTCAGTCAGAAGTAGTGCAATAAAGGGCACAGCAATCTGAATAACCCAAACTACAAAGAATTGCTGCAAAACGTTCACAAATTCACAAAAACATGACAGTAATATGTAGACATTTTCATGATGTTTAAATTCCAAATGTCTTCTTTATTCCACAGATCAACAAATAATGAACATCTCGAGTTTCCAGAGTTCGTTTCATGGTCTTTATCAAAAAACTGTTTTGCTGAATTTTTCCAAGCAATCCACTATTAGGAATCTCAATTTCAGAATGGCTATAAATAGCTCTTAAGTTAACCAACAATACTTTTTCAACGGACAGCAACCCTATGAGGTGGGTGGGGTCTAAAGACAATGACTGGCTTAGAGTAACAAGGCAGTTACTTCATAGCTGAACAGGGATTTGAACTCATATCTCCCTAGACTAAAGCTGTATCAACTACACCGCACTAGCTCACCACTCCAAATGGCTTTTGCTGTATTTCCTAACAAAACTAGGACAGTAGTAGATCTAGAGAGCCTGTGTTATTCACATACTTACAAACTATTGTGGAGGTCCATCACAGGTCCAGGGAATCTGTCTATCCATTCCATGAGCAGGTGCTTTACTTTTTTTGGGAAGACCTATCTAAAGCTTCCCATATAAACTCAGCATCACTACAAGTTTTGTTTCTCAGCTGACAAACTGTTTGAATTTTCATTTTGCATGCAGAAGCATTTAAGAAAATGTAGTGGAATTCTTGTTTTAAAAGTTTCAAATCCATTTTGGATTACAATGTTCATCTGGAAACAATATCTCAAGCCAGTGCTTTCCAAATTTCCTCTCCTTGGGATAACTGTTCTAAACTAGCTTGCCTGATGAGGAGCCTCTTTGTTTTTGTGGTGGAGCCCTTTGCAAGTTGTATAGAATTCTGGGCAGCTTTTAGGGTGCACATTCAGTTCACGTGGAATCTTAGCCAGACCTACTGCAAACACCGGGCACACTCTAGCTTGCATCCCCCATGGTTCACACATGATAGTGAGGGGGAAGCTGTCTTTCAGGAAAACTTATCCATCATTAACTGATCTTCTTATTGAGGATCCCCTGATAACCCCCAAAGGAATTCTCAATAAGAAGACCGAAGCAAAATGAATAAAAGCAATCACAATACTCCCATACCAGCAAAGTCACAGCAATTTTAGGATGGTGCAACTACTCTGTTATAAGCAATCTAGGAACTATCATCTAGTACATCTGCAATCTAAGTGTAATGCAAAGAAACAAAGCCTAGTCTAGATGCAGAAGTCTACAAGTCCAAGTGACACCAGTTTCATGAAATCTAAAAAGCAGGAAGTACAGTTAAGAAAGCAAAGGCACATGCACAAAAGCATCACCTTAGTTTTCCTTTGAAAATGGAAGAAGAACTTTATGTACCAGAACTGAAAACAAATGTCACATGCAGATGCTGTTATGGTATGTCAAGTGTTCTGTGTCCTGCCAAGGATAACAACAGAAGGGAAAACAGAAGTTCTTTCAGTTCTCTAATAGTCCAATTAGATGAGATGTCTGTTTATATGTATGTCCTCCATTCATGCCTCAAGAGGAAGCTATTTCTAAAACAAAAAATGAGTGCCTAGGGAGAGGAGCTAAGTAAGCCCTGCTTTTCCCCACACCTAGCTGCACTGCAGTCTATAACATTCAGTACTTTTCCTTGAGCCTAGCTCTGATATTGGACATGAGCTAGACTGAAAAAAAGGTAATGACAAATGACACTTCCTAACAAGGTAAGGAAGGGAAGGGGGAGCAGCATTACATTCCCCTTGTCCATATGCTTCATTTGTGTTGGAAAACACATGCACACCATCCTCTGCTTTAGACATGAATGGGAGGATATATTAATACAGTCGATCCCCCGCCGCTGCCAGTCTCTTCTAGTTTGAATTTTGCCTCCTTATTCATCTGATGATGGGCTATGGCTTCAGAATCTCATGCTACACTGAATCTGCTAATCTTCATGGCATAAAACTCTATGAAGACTTACATTTCACTCTTTTTTTAAAAAGAAAGAAAGAAAAGGAACCCTGGCTAAAGGCTGGAGCTTGCTGAGTGGACTTTGTGGATTTTAAAAATCCAAAGTGCAGTCTCATGCGCCAACTCACAAAACACTCTAAAGTTTCAAAAGTAGTTTACCATGGGGAATGAGCAGAATGTGTTATTTTAGGGAAACAATGTGTTCAGAGCTTTCTTGAATAGGTACAATTAGCCAGGTCAGAAAGTCTTACTCCATATGAATGCTTAAAAATTGGTATTGTTTTTTAAAAAAATTTTCAGCGATGCTCTAACTGTAACACAAGCACACACTAACCTGCTTTATAAGAGACTTCAAACTCATTTAGATAAAGCTGGATATTATACCAGCTCTTTATTTTTTAACAGTTCTAAGATTTGTTTTCTTTGCTACAGTGTCAAAACCAATCCTGAGCATGTAGACCATGAATTCACTTCACATGGATTGAAACAAGCCCACTGAAAATTGTGACTTCTATTAATCCCAGGTATAACTCACCAAAAGTTGGTGTGTGATAGTTAATTAACTTGCAACTTACAAGTTTTGGAAAACTCAGGATATTGGCTGATCATATATTTTTCCTGTGTACACATGTGTGTGTTATTTACATCTGGTTTGTACAGTGATCATGGTTCGTGGTGTTCTGGTCCAATAAAGTCTCCAGCTTTGGTCATGTTCAAAGGAAACCCAGATGACTGTGTTAGTAGGCATGCACTCAAGTGAGAAGAAACTTACATCAGTGATAGTGTTCAAAGCAGTGTCTGCACCAATGCTGAAATCAGAACCCGGTACATTGTTGGATACAGTTGCAGGAACCATAACCATGGGAATACAGAACTCTTCGTACGTCTCCCGGGCAGCAGAGAGTTCCAAGAGTCCCAGGTAGGCCTGATGGGCATGTGGTTAAGTATGCAAAATTAGAAGGGACAAAAAGAGGTCAAACTATTGTAAGCTTCTTGCCACACAGGGGCACTAGAGGAAAACCTCATATGAGACACAATACATAAAATGGAGACAAGCAAAATACATCCAACATCAACTATTATTAATTTTAAAAAACCAAAACTTTTAGGCATCCCTGCAAGTTCTGCACAATATTACAATACCACTAAAAATATAAAGTTACTTTTTCTGTTCATAAATGGATTGCATCAGTCTTTCAACACTGGTCGTCCTCATTTAAGAACAGGTTTGTGGACCTCACGTTCAGGAAAGCTATCATTTAAACATGGAGGTAGTTTTCCTGAATAGGCACGTCGCTTTTAGCAATGTCTCATGATGTGGAAATTCTTTTGAAGCAATTATATGATTCATTTTTAAGTGACGTCTCTCAGGGTGGAATCACAATGCATAAGGAACATATCACTGCTTCTAAAAATGGCACCCTTGCCCTGGTGACTCTGGACACAATCTGCATTGTTTACATGCACTGTTACTTTGCAGTGTTTGTGAATTGTGTCCATAGTCAATAGAGCAAATTCTGCAACTACAGACATTGACCTGCTAGCAGAATTTATGTGACTTTTGCAGAGTTCCTGCTGTAGAATCATGTCTTTATACACAGACTGGGAGATGTAATATCTTCAGAACATTTTGAGATGGCAGAGGGATCCTGGAGAGCTCCGTTTCTGGAACAATGAGATGTCTCTTCAATGGGAGCATAAACAGAGGGAGAAGAGAGTTATCACTTCAGATGCTATGGAGAAGCACAGAAACAGGAACCCCAAGGAACTTGTTCTTCCTATTGCCCCTCCATTTCTCCAAGCATCCAAACTCATCATTCTCATTTATATCACCAATTTCACAGTTTTGTGAGGTCCAAGATTCAAAAAGGATTCCCCAGGAGTTGGCTTGTTTTCTGCTCAGTGCTGTGTTCAGAAGATCAGCAGTTGTCAGTACAGAGGATTTGGTGCTAAGCTTCCAGCACTGCTGCAAGGGGGCTCTGATGTCCCTTTGCTTCCGTATCAGGAGCAGCAGCAGCATCCCTCCCGTGCTGCCATGTTGTACCAACTGGGGGCACTCTTCCAACATTGCTGCAAATTTCTTCATGGAAAAAAAAGGCTTCTCCTCTAGATATTTCAGTACAGAGATTGGTGGAAGTTTATCCAGACTTATGTTCTACTCAAAGGCTGTCAACGCAACCCAGAGGTCCCAGTGCGAGTACAACGTTTCAGCCAACTAGGAGCTGGAGGAAGGAGGACTTCCCATTTAATGGCGATAGACTCTGGTGGGCAGCCGTGTTGGTCTGAAGCAGCAGAACAAAGTGGCCCCTTTAAGACCAACAAAGTTTTATTCAAGGTATAAGCTTTTGTGTGCACGTGCACTTCATCAGACGCAATGAAATGGAAACAGAAATAACAGTCATACATATAGAGGGTGGGCAGTGAATCAGCATGCAGAATAAAGAAGATGTTTTTAACAGATTAAAAGAATAATAAGCTTAGTTTATAGCTATTGTCTGTTTGGGTAACGTAATTTGGAATGGTAGATTCAAATGTATTTTGCTGGTCTGGGGACAAGCAAAATAACATAGCCACTAGCCCCACTTCAAAGGAGAAGATGCAGCAATGTTGCCTCCTTGCTTGAGAGGTAGATGGATAGAACCTAATGACAGACTCTCACAATTAAGCATACATCAATCTCCAGTTCTGACATATTTATTACCTTGGCTCTGTTTCCCTCCCTAGTTGAACCCAGACAGACAATAGTCACAAACCAAACTTATTATGCTTGGATTGGTTAGCAGCAAAAGGAAACTGGGCCGCCAAAGAACATGGTGGCTAGACACCATAAAAGTTGACACCAGCCTGAGCATGGAATGACTCAAAGAAACAGCACAAGATCGGAAAACATGGAGAGAGCCGGCCCATACAATCGCCAAGAGTCGGACACGACTGAATGGCTAACAACAACAACAAGCAGCTTAGTATTCTTTTAATCTGTTAAAAACATCTTCTTTATTCTGCATGCTAATTCACTGCCCACCCTCTATATGTATGGCTGTTATTTTTATTTCCATTTCATTGTGTCTGAAGCAGTGTGTGCGCACATGAAAGTTCACCTTGAAATAAAACTTTGTTGGCCTTAAAGGTGCCACTGGATTCATTTAATGGCCAGTTGACCAGAGATGTTTAGCTCTGCTCCACTTGCCTTGCAAAGCCTACTGCTGTGGCTGGTGCTGCCCAAACAGTGCCTTGTGCTGCACCAGCGACAGCTGAGACCTGGATCAGATGGCAAGTCTACTTCAAATTATTTCAGTTGCAATTCTACTACCTCCTCTTTCCATTCAACATTTCAAGTGGTAGGGCATGCATGACAAAGAGGTTAGGTTTCTATCAAAGTCTTTTGGGGTTTTATGTATGAATCTATGCATGAGTTCTTGACATCACAAAATATTAACCGTTGTTGGAAATCTTTTAAGATTCTGCTAACAAAGATGTACAGGAGAAACAAAGCAAAGTGATGTACCTCAAATCCACCAATAACTAGGAGGGCATTTATGTTATTAGCACGCATCTGTTCTGCAATCTTCTTCAAATACTTTCCAGGGAGCGTGCTAAAATATCAGAGGGGAAGACACACTCAGCAATGTACATAGCATTTATGATTAAAATGAGCCTTTGTTCTTTTCAAAATCTTAATGTTTGGAGAACTGTGAGACTTGATACCCAACAACCCACACCATGGACTCTGATATTACACTTTATTATATTTCACTTTGTAAAATGTTACAGGACAGTGCTTGAGTTGAGACTTTTGCTTCCCTGTTGCAAACCAATGGAACTCACTGAGCTGTATCAATTGCCTCTTACAGCTCATCAGAAAACAGAAATGTAGTTCAGTTTGGTCACTGGGTTAGATCCTGTTGAGCAAGTGGAAAGGCAACTCCCACCTCCTACATCAGCCCTCCAACTCCCCCCCCCCCTTCATATTACTCCTGGGAATCCCTGAGCATCTTGGGCGCCTTCAAGATGGGGGAAGCAGGCAAGTGGCACTTCCATACACAGAATTTTGATCCAACACATTATGTATGAATTGGTTCTTGTCATTTTTTAAACAGTCTTTCAGTTCTCTCTAATTTTCCTTTATGATCCCTTTCACAGTCTCTGTGACACTTGCTGAGGTTGAAATATGCATATTCACCATGAAGTAAGCACATTCTATCCAACTGTAAAACAAGTCTTTCCTGTTTTAGTTCTATTTATATCTATTTTATTAAATATTTATACCCTATACCCTATTCCAAGAATAGCTTTAGAAATTAACAGGTTTTTTTTAAATTAAAGGCAAGTAATGTAGATGGGTATCTCATTACTGCTTGCAATTTATCCCATATATAAGGCTGTTCAGTGCAGGAGTTTACTTAACCAACCTCAACAGAAGCCCTGCTGGGCACAGTATGATTCATGAAAGGATGAGAGTTAGGCATGATTCACTGAGAAGGAACATAAGAGCATATGAGAAGCCAATGTTAGATCAGGCCAGTGGCCCATCCAGTCCAACACTGTGTCACACAGTGGCCAAAAATACCAGGTGCCATCAGGAGGTCCAGCAGTGGGGCCAGGACAGTAGAAGCCCTGCCACTGTTGCCCCCACTCCCAAACACCAAGAATATAGAGCCCCAGACTGAGAGTTCCTATCTATATCTTAGAAGGAAGGCTTCTAAGTTAAGTTGGCGATAAAGGAGCTCGTATTGGTGGAAGGACACAGGACTATAATCCCCCCCTCTAAATAAATAAAACTACTTTTGAAAAGATTGGATTTATGCTGAGCAAAGAAAGGATGAAATGGAAAAATTAGTAAAATTAAAACGTACATATGCGTTTAAGGACAGGAGGGAGAATATTTATTTATTTACGTATAGGCCACCTTCTTCACTGAGACTCAAGGTGGTCATGTATATTCATGAATATGTTCATGAACTGGAGATATATTTCACCGATGGGAAGGCAGGATATAAATATTGTAATGAAATACGTATGCCACTGAATATCAGATACTTGGAGTGAACAACAGGGGAAAGTCATCGTCTCCGTGCCACACTTGCAAGTTTCCGTCATCTGAAATTTTGTAGATATGAAACATCTGCACATGTGTGTTTGTTTCCTTGTTTATCCCAGTGGATGAACCTACATATTTGTCCAAGCAGGCATGGGAAGTAACTACATAACCTTCCTATTCCATGTGATTTCAGATGTTCACCAGATTGTCAACCATGCAGCACAGGCAAATAACCATTAACCCTAAATTGCCGCCACAATAATTTTCTTTTCATCTGCTATAACATCAAGGCCATATAGATATATTTCCATGCACTAAATTACTGGCCATTATATGTCTTAACCAGTGTTCGTTCAGTTTGCAGTCTGATACAATAGACAACATTTTTACATTACCGTTTGGTGCCTAGAATTGACCCTCCTTGGCCAGTCCAACCCCCAACATCGCCCCAGCTGATTTCTTTGATCTGTAAGTAGAAACCAAGAGGAGGGAGATTAAATGATTTTCTAAATACTATGCCATGCTCTGAAACATACATTGGATATTTCTGCAGCAGACACAAAACATTAGCCTCATCAAGAATCAAACTTTCGATAGTAGCCGGATTGGTGAGTCTTTCATTTTAGTTTAGCTTTGTCTGTCTTTCTCCATGCAAACCAGTGTTTCCCATGTAAGGTCCCTGCACCTTCCCAGAAACTGTGCATTTTTATTATATACAGTTGCATCCCTAAACCCCTAATATAATATTCCCTCTTCAGTGAATGCCACTTCCTGAGTTGGGGAAAACTGATGCACAATGCCATCATTTCGTGAATTTTTCCTTGTGTCATGGGCCAGCCACCTGCCTTTTCCTCTGAGGAAATGGAAGAATCAGGCCCTGCATCAGTGGAATGCAGATCTGAGCAGCTGGGTCTAGAAGCAGATCTAGTGAAAGAAGCACCAGTAAGCAAGAGTTGCTCATTCTGGCAGGAGACGAAAGACATGGTGCGAGACGTTCCTGGTGAATGACAGGGTTGCGGGGACATATATTGCTGTTGTTCTGCTATAACATCTCCAGAAAACCATCCTCGTTTTATGATTGGAGTGATTACTGGAGCACTGAGATTTTATTAATTGTATTACTGTAATTTTACATTGTTTTATTGTTTTAACCTGGCACTTATGCCCTTGTTAGCCGCCCTGAGCCTTCGGGGAGGGCGGGATATAAATCCAAAAATAAATAAATAAAATAAATAAAAGTAATTTTTCTGCTAGAAAAATTGGTAAAGACGGTTTCCATGCTGTATGGGCAGAACAGCACAAAGTCTTAAAAGGGAAGGGGGAGAAAATATCAGGAAGGAAGCTGGAGATGACATGACCAAGAATGAATTGCTCTGTAGGAATGGTGGGATAAAAATGTGAGAGATATTTATAGAAAGAAGAGATAATATGAGACTAGTGTCCATAACATTTATAAAAATAATAATTCTGGATGGCCTTTTGATTAACTCCTGGGAACAATAGTTCTTATGGTCCCTTGGGATAAATCTGGGTCTTTTTGTACTATGATATTTTCCATGTTTTTATTGTGATAATTTAGGGTTCTGAATATGGTTGCACTGTATGAACTGCTTGCCCCCTTGGCAACATACAGATTGACTGAATTTCATGAGATGTGTAGTGTTTGTGCACCAAGCTCTCAACATTATTTTTCTCTAAACCTCAAGTGTAGAAAGACCTCATTCCAACCAGGTCAACAGCATAAACTGGCCCACCCTCCCATCCCCAATTCTTACTGTTGTCCTGAGCGGAATGAGACCTCCCCGTGCTGTTTTCTCAACTTGTAAAGGTCTTAGTGAGCTGCAATTTGCCCCAATGGAATATAAAGATACTGATATTTGTACTTGTGCCCAGTGGGGCAGAAAGCATTCCCCCAAGGCTTTTTCATGGTGGAAAAAAGTGTGGAAGGGAAGGTGAAATCCTTCTCCCCTTATGCTGTAGTCCTGATAACAATTGGTGGCCCTGTCCACCTGATTTTTAAAGGGGAGGAAAAATCCTGGGAGCTCCATTCATAGTACTCTCTGCATTTTATCTACTTGAGTCTAAGTAATTGAATTATTGGGGGGAAACTTTGTAATGATTTGATAAGTCTTAATGTAAGAGAATCCTCCAGGAAGGGGAGCACAAACAATGTATAAAGTTGCCAACTCCAGGTTGGGAAATACCTGGAGATTTTGGGAGAGGAGCCTTAGGAGGGGAGGGACTTCAGTGGGGTAGAATGCCATCAAGGCCACCTTCCAAAGCAGCCATTTTCTCCAGGTGAACTAATCTCTGTTGCCTTGTACTCAGTTGTAATTCCAGGAGATTTCCAGTCTCCACCTGGAGATTAGCAACCATAACAATGGACCACAGATGGGGATATGCCACTGCCCTGCACGATTTTAAGGGGCAACTCATGAAAAAATGCCAGTGTAAATACACTTAACTGACTAGAGATCAATTTCAGTCTCCCTTAATTTTTCAACCCTTCTCACGGTGATCTACGCAAATCCTGTAGCTCTGGAAGTTGTCACAATGTGATAAGAAGGAGGCAAAGACTCCCTGACAATTGCTGGAGTGGCTGAGAAGGAGGCTTTGAAATTCTTCAGAATTATATATATATATATAATGGACTCATAAGCATACCACAACAGAAGCCTCAGGATAAGGCATACTATAACAACGTGTCTCAAACAATAAACACTTCCTTAATGAGAGAACAGAAATCAACTGTTACAACAGATTTATGATAGCTGCCTTTCATCCTCTACTTATCTCTAGATACTTTACAGTCCTGGAGCTATTTTCATTCAGACAAACAGCCAAATATGGCCTCTCGCCAAGGTCTCCTGAGAGCTGCCCTCTGAACAAATAACATGGAATCTGATAGGAAAAAATTCTCAAGAGGGATCCAGGAGGCAAAATCTTTTTTTAAACATGGGCTTCTCTTTGACAAAAATGCTGGTGGTATTTTTAAAAGTAATATGGAAGCAGCAGCTGCAGCGCAAATTAACATGATTCAGGATCCAGATTCAGGATCCAGGTTTGTAACAGCCTTGGAAATAGTAGTAGTTTATAGTTTCCAGCGCTAAGCAGTCTGACCTGTAAAAGCAAGGAAGGACTATACCTTCATGAGTCATTTGGATCCCTAGTTTTCCTGCAACGTGTAAAAAATTATTGAGGAAATATCACTAATTTGGAAGGGCCTCCCTAAATGGTTTTTTTTTAAAATTTAAGCAATGTTTCAGTGGTCATGCTACTTTTGATCCATTTTAAATCTGTACGGATTAAACTGTATTTTAATGGTAGGGATTTTGAAGCTGCTTGAGGAGATTGATTGTGGGGGTGCAGAAAATCTTAAACATTTTTTTTTGGGGGGGAATAGATTAGAGAATATTTATTCACCTGCCCTCTGGAAAAGCCTTCGAATCCATCCGTGACAGCAAACATGTTATGTCCTTCAGTTATACCGATTCTTACAGCTGAGCGAACAGCAGCATTCATCCCCGCTGCCGGAGCACCTACATTTAAAACTGCTACATTGAAGTTAGTCTGCAAGACAAAGGAGATAAATATCCTTAAATATATAACACATATTGCAGGGTTCAATAATATGATTGCACTAGAAAAGAGATAGCAAACTCTGGACCAAAAGGTGTAAAGTAATCCGTAGTATAATAAAAGGATTTAAAAATACATGATTCAAACTTTAAGAACATTACTGCAAACAAACTGCACCTCTTACCATATTTATACCGCCTATACATCATGGAAAGCAGGTATAATATAATATTGTTGAAATGTCATCTGAAAGTTGTCCTTGAACCACATTATTTTGAAAAGCAGAAACAGGAAAGCACAAACAAAAGCATTATGTAGTAATTTCAATATTTAATTTTGTTTTTGACAAAAAGTAACAGACGCAGAGGAGTATATCGAGAGAAAGCACAGAACACAACTTACCTTCTGAAGGGGATCACGTCTCATACAACATACTGCACACAGAGTAAGTGAAGTAAAGCAACAGGCAACCAAACACAGTCTAGTGGTCTGAGCTTGCGTGTCAGCCATTCATTGGACTCCTAACACCTTTATTCATAGTTAGCAATGTCCAGTTGACTATGCAATGCACGGTCCTTCGCAGTACAGATCTTGGCATATCATATGCCCAAGGCAGGGTTACCATATTTTGAAAAGCAAAAAATGACCCCCTTAAAAAAGGTATACACAGGGAATTATTGGATGTAACCGTAACTTGTAGGTGAATGTGAGATGATACCCCCTTTTTTTACAGCATACTTGTGGAAAAAACCTAGTCTTGCAATTGCGTAAATATGGTACATGCAAAAAGTGTAGGCTCCTAGCCATTCAAACCAGGTAATGGGATACAGTATGCCTTACTGGCAGGTCTGTGATTAAAAAATTACTTTGGGCATCTGAAGGGAACAGCATTTGCAAGTGCATGAGGACTGTATAAATTTGGCATGTAACAGTCATTCTCCTCAAGATTATAACATGACTGTCATGTGATCTGCCTTGTGTCCTTCAGATCACCAAGCTGTGCATCTGCTCTTGTGAACCTGAGGTGTGCAAAGTAGCATTTATTTCCTACCATTTAAGCACCTTTGATGAACATATAAGTCAGGACTTGAATCGTCTGGAGTTACTGCATAACAAACTTCAAACTACATAAATATTCAAACCAATCAGTTATTTCCAACGAAGAATAATCTATCCCAAAACATTTCTTATGTATAAAACAATTTGCCCAGTTTTGGTTCTCTCATTTTCTCCCACCCTATTACTTTCGGAAGGATTACATCTATATGAGGCCTCTGAGATCAAGCACAGAACATATAAATTTGATATAATCCTAACAGTAGGGTTGCCAGCTCTGAGATGGAAATACCTGGAAATTTTGGGGGTGGAGCCTCATCTGGGTGGAATTTGAGGAGGGGAGGGACATCCATAGGATGCAATGCCATACAGTCCACCCTCCAAAGCAGCCATTTTCCTAGGGGAATTGATATTGGTTGCCTGGAGATCAATTGTAATAGCGAGAGATCTCCAGATGCCACCTGTAGTTTGCCAACCCTGCATATCAGACAAAATCTTTATGACTCCTTTGGTATTTAGTGCTCAAAGTCAAGATTTTGAGTCTAAAACTTAAAGTACATCCTTGGACCAAAATTATATGTTGTTGTTGTTCATTTGCACAGTCCAGTCCGACTCTTTGTGACCCCATGGACCACATCCTGTCCTCCATTGTGCTCCAGAGTTTGCTTAATTTCATGTTCATTCCATCGATAACACTGTCTAACCATCTCATCCTTTGCTGTCCCCGTCTTCTTTGACCTTCAGTCTTTCCCAGCATCAGAGTCTTCTCCAGAATGCTCCCTTCTCATTTGGTGGCCAAAGTATTTGAGCTTCAGATTCAGTATCTGGCCTTCCAGGGAACAGTGAGGGTTGATTTCTTGTAGCATTGACTGATTTGATCTTCTTGCAGTCCAAGGGACTCTCAAGAGTCCAGCACCATAGTTCAAAAGAATCTATTCTTCGGCGCTCGGCCTTCCTTATGGTCCAACTCTCGCAGCCATACATGACTACTGGGAATACCATTGCTTTGACCATGCGGACTTTTGTTGGCAGGATGATGTCTCTGCTTTTTATTATGCTGTCTAGGTTTGCCATCACTTTCCTCCCAAGGAGCAGGTGTCTTTTAATTTCATGGCTGCAATCACCATCTGCAGTGATCTTGGATCCCAGGAATATGAAGTCTGTCACTGCTTCCATGACTTCCCCTTTATTATTATTTATTTATTATTTATTTATTACTTTCAGTTTATATACCGCTCCAACCCCGAAAGGTCTCTGAGTGGTTTATATACACCTCTTAATACCAATCTAGGGCCACATTCTATCTGGGGGGAGTGACGACCTGCTGGCACCCAGGCAGAAAGGCTCTCTGTTGTTGTTGTGCGGCTCTTATTCTTTCGGCGTTTGGCATTCCCGGTGTTCTGCCTCCTGACGCCTTCGATCGGGTCTTACTCCAGTGACTTTCTCCGGCGGACTTCATCCCAGTGTGTGGCCCCGTGCCAACCGCAACTCCGGCGCATGTCCTTTCTGGCTCCGCGACGCCACGTCGTCACGTCACCACGCCTCCGCGATTCAGTTTCCACCCGGATTCCTCCACTCAGCATCACTAGGTCACTAGGTCGTAACTCGCTGATCGCTCTGCCGCTGCCGCTGCCATCCGCCGCCGCCAATGCTCCTGCTGCACACTGCCCACACGGGGGAGGGTGCCCCCTGCCACCTAGGGGCAGGTACCCAATTTATCTACTTGCTTACGCTTTCGAACCGCTGGGTGGGCGGGAGCTGGGACTAGGACCGGGAGCTCACCCCGGCCATGGTGGGTCTCGAACAGCCTTACTGGCTGTTCGCTGATGTTACAGCAGGCGTTTTACGGCCTGTGCCACTGCTCCCGTCTATTTGCCAAGGAGTGATGGGGCCGGATGCCATGATCATAATTTTTTTTAATGTTGAGTTTCAAGCCAACTTTTGCGTTCTTTCACCATCAGCAAAATTATATGCTAAGGTCTAAACACCTATTTTAGCCTTGGTAAAGTGATTACTGGTATAGGAGACTACTGGTATAGAACCCACACTATACACTCACAGCCTCTAGTAATTATTCTAGTCTTTCACCTAGTATAAGAATGGCTAGGATTCATATATTTCTGACATCTTCTCTGGCATCAATGAAAACTTAGAGGCATTTCAATGCTGCTTTGATGCCTTTCTTGTCTAGAGAATTAATAAAGTAGAGCAACCTGCTCCTGATTGTTCCACCTTCTTAATCACAAAGTGGCCGGCCAACTGGAGATTTGATAGTAGGTTAGGTATGAAATGGTGCTGCTTAGGTTATGGCTGCCCATGCCTGAGCATTTTTGCTGCCTAGGTTTGAGCAAAGCAGCGCACAGCTTCAAAACATGCATATAGCAAGTCTTCTTGCCATGCAAAAATAACAGCGTTGCTTCCAAACCTACCAAGCAAAAGAACTTGCTAAAAATTATAGCTTTGTATTTTTTAAAAAATAGACGACATGAGATACCATCCTGTTAAAGAGAACAAAAAAGATTTCCAGTAATGCCGTGGTTGCAGACACTTCCTGTTTATCTAGCCATTATACAAAAGAGTAGGTTAGATGGTACCCCTATCCTACCACGCTGCCTGGTAAAGTCTGAAGTCTTTTTCATGCCGAAGGTTCCCTCCTTCATCCTAAGTGTTTCTTCCTCTGGAGGAAGAGCCACCTTAGTTGGAAGAAGGCAACTTACACTGGAGGAAAGTTCCTTGAGAATTGTTGGATTGACCTTGGTAGCTGTACTTCCCCCAATCTGGTTTAAAATGCTACTCAGTCTCCTCCTCGGCAGGGTGCACTCTTGGTTGATCTTCCACTATAACTGCCCAGCAGCTTTGAACACTCAGGCCACCACAGTCATTTAAACGCAGTGACCCGAGGATGTGCTTTAATGCAAGCAAATACAGTCATACGACTTGACCTGGATAGCCCTGGATAGCCTGATCTCATTATATCTTGGAAGCTAGGCAGGGTCAGCCCTGGCTAGCATTTTGATGGGAGACCTCCAAGGGATTCCAGAGTCATGACACGGAGTCATGACCATCTCTGAACATCTCTTGCCTTGAAAACCCCACAGGGTCCCAATAAGTCAGCTGTGACTTGACAGCACTGTCCACCACAGTCATACAAAACAAATTGGATGTCAATGAAACACTGTCGAAGCAATTTCAACATTAGCTAGCCCCACGTGTCTCTGGAAATGTATGAGTCAGGCCTATGCAAACTGGAAATAAAATGTACTCTAGGCATTTGAAAATGAAGATCTTCTAGTTAATGACAGCTCCGCAAAGGGCTCACCAGTCTTGTCCACCACCCCTAGCTGCCTCCCCCCAGTGCTGCTTCCACACAAAGCAGCTAACACACCTTTCCCAGGCATCTGAACACAGCCCAACAAACCAGACATGCTCGTCTGGGTTTCCGGAACTCTTGTGAAAAGCTCCACTGGAAATGGCTGGATTAGGAGCGTCGATTCCTCTGGCTTCTGGGTGGGGATAGGAGCAGTGAGGCGAGGTAGTGGTGGAGGCTGCCAACCTGAGAAACTCTGCCCCCTAAGGCCACCCCAGTCGCTTGACCTCATTGCAGAGCCCCAGCCTGTTCACAACTAGCTGTGTCACTTTTCATAAAGAGACTTTGAGTGATGAAGGTGTAGGGTAGGGTTGTAGTGTAGGGTTGCCAGCTCTGGGTTGGGAAATTCCTGGTGATTTGGGGGTAGAGCCTGGACAGGGTGGGATTTAGGGAGGAGGAGAAGGGACTTCAGTGGGGCATAATGCCACAGAGTCCACCCTCCAAAGCAGCCTTTTTCTCCAGGGGAACTTATGCCTATCATCCGGGGAGCAATTTTAAACCAGGAGATCTCCAGGCCCCATTTGGAGGTTGGTAACGGGAACGTAGTGGTAGAAGCAATAATCTGGTGTCATGTCAAAGACTACACATCACTGCCTACCACGCTTCGACTCACCGCACAAGTCATGATCAGCTGTACCAAACAGAGTAGCAGATGTTTCCATGGATACAGTTTTTACGACGTGCTGCTCATTTTGGTTTACCAAGTGAGCAGCCATGCAAGCTGTAAATACTACAGGTGTTGGGAATGAAGCAGACAACGGGACAGTCATTCAAAACATACCTTGGGAAGCTCTGCAGCTGATTTCTTGTTAGACAATAGCTTGTAAGTATTCAAGTTATTCTCAAAACTCCTATGAAGGAAAAAAAGAAAATTACATTTAATAAAAAGTACAGTTTCACTTGTAAGGAAAAGAAACAAGGGGTCTCCATGTACATTTATGCATTCTCCACAGCAGTGCCGTATCACACACGTTCAAGAAAGGCGACAGACTAATGTGATCTGATTCTCAGGAGGATCTTTCAGGAATCAAATTTGTTCTTCAGTACTTGCCCTCACAACTGACACACAAGCACATAAACTCCTCTCTGTCAGCCATACTCATAAGCCTAGGAACAAAATACCATAACGTGGTGGTTTTAAGTAGAAAGAAATGTTGGCAAATGAAACCTTTTGTCTTTTTTCCATGTTGGTTGGCTGTTAAAAAGAAAACTCAGAACGGACAAGACTGAGGTGCTGTTAATGATGAAGCCCCCCAAGGAGTCAGCCAGCCCTGAATAAGCTGCCTTTCCCCTAAAGGAGCAACCTTTGTCATTGTGATCCACAGTTTGATCACGTCAAGGTTAGATTACTACAGGGCTATTTTTGGGCAGGAACGCACAGGAATGGAGTTCCGGCTGGCTTCAGAGTTGGCCACGCCCACTACAGCCAAAGCCTGTGCGTGCGTGGCTACAGAGGGAAGGCCTGGAGAGTGACCCCCTCCCCGGCGACTCCGAAGCGGGCCGGCCGCAAGCCAAGGGAAGGCATGGGGGTGTGCCCTAATATGCTAATGAGTTTCTGCAGCTGGGTTTGGCTTATTATGCTAATGAGTTCCTGCTGGGCTTTTTCTACAAAAAAAGCCCTGGATTACTATAATGTACTCTATGCAGAACTTCCTTTGAAAACTGTCTGGTTTAGATTTAGGAGAGGAGTGCATGAAAGTAACTGTTGGAATGGATCGTTCCTAATCTTTCCCATCCCTGAGAAGCTAGCCATCTATTCCGAGGAGTGTGCCACAAGATGAGGTGCTGAGTTGGGAATCAAACAAAACTCCCTCCCTCTTTCTTTGCAGCCTGCGTGGGACAATAAAATAATTTTATTTGATTCTATAAACCCTACTTCTGGATCCAACCCATTTTTTGTGTGTGTGTCTGATGTTCCAGTTTGGCTTCAAAAAAATTCTACATAAATAAAGAAAAAGTGAATAGGACACTGTAATGTAGTATTCCATGCAGGGCTTTTTTTTCTGGGGGAATGCACTGGAATGGAGTTCTGGAACCTCTTCAACAAAATTCTTTTTAAAATGTTTAAAAGTTCATGAGTTTTCAGTATACAGATTGAACCTTTCATTTCCCTCTTGAGAGTTTCAGCACTTCTTTTCCAATAATAATAATAATAATAATAATAATAATAATAATAATAATAATAATAATAATAATAATAATAATAATCATCCCTGAGTCCATGGAAAGCAACAAAGTATAGTCTGTGCTAGTACACACATGAAGAACACTGCTGTACCTTCCACGGAGCTGCACAGCCTCAAGAAATTTTCTTCCGTCCATGGCTTTTTGCACTTCTTGGGTCTTTTGAAATGGAACAAAGAATAGAGATTTTCAAACTTTAGGAATGAATTGTTTATTAGATTATTACAAATCCATTACCAGAAATGGTACATAAAAATTAATAAAATGTAAATTTTATTAAAATAAGCAAGTTTGAGCCATTAAACTAACACAATGCTACGATGTACTCTTGAGGATGCACAGAATCTGACCACTTTATCCATAATCCAAGGCTCATGGTCCAAGAGAAGAAAGGAAATATATGATCCCTTGGATCTAACTGGGATTTTTAGGATAATAGGAGTAATGAAATCATGTCTAAGATCACAGTAAAAAGGGCAATGAAATATAATATGCCCCACAGTTTCAACTTCCCCACGTACATGAGGGCTTATACAATCCTGGTATGGTGCATCCCCATATCTCCCAATTTTCAAACATTAAAAAATTATGCTTTCTAACAGGCTCCAAGACTATACAACAGTTCAGAGCAGGCCAAAGGTGATAATGGTGCCAATCCTTATCACGAAGTTAGACTGCTTAAATCAGAGTGGTTTCAGTGAGAATTTAAGCAGCCTAACCCTGTGCAGCCCTGCAACAGTTGTTTGATTGCGTTATTGGCAGATTAGATTTCCTGTGGCTTTCATCAGACACATGATTCACTGTTCATTGTATTATTTTATTCCGTTGAGTTGTCTGGATTCAACGCTTGAGACAGGCAGGATAATTTAAAAACAGAAACTAATAGGGGAGGAGGAAATCTTTCAGTGGTTTCCTTGGTATCATGACATGCATTACAGGACTGTACCACATAGAATGCCCCATTTCCACAAAGTGCTTTCTAACCATCAGGATCTTTTTCTGATGTGTGCAGGATAGAGACTGTTTACTGCAAGTTGTGCCTTTGTTGAAGAACAAGCTACAAGTGTGTTAAGACAGAAAGAGAATCTACTCATAATCAATGCTTGAGACAGGCAGGGGCTTACTTCCAGGAAGGTGTTTTTAGGATTTCACTGAAAGACAACCAGTAGCAGTACAAAGTTTGAGTACAGTGGCACCTTTAAGATCAACAAAGTTTAATCCTGGGTATAAGCTTCCGTGTGCATGCACACTTCTTCAGACAACATGGCTAGCCACCTGAAACTACCACCAGTATAATTAGGGCTGCCAAATGCCCCCGGGGGGCGGAATTCCCCCTGCTTTTGAGCCCCGATTCCTGCTCCCACGGAATCGGGGCCCGGGGTAAACCCCACCCCCGCGTGTGCGTCATCCGGAAGTGACGTCACACGCTGGGGGCGGGGCCACGCCATTTGAGGGGAAAACAAAGAGTTTTCCCCTCAAATGG